TGTGTGTGTGTGTGTGTGTGTGTGTGTGTGTGTGTGTGTGTCTCTCTCTCTATCTCTCATGCGTGCTGATTAGTTGGCAATGCTTAGCATGGTGTCTCTTGCTCATCCTTGTTTCATGGAAATGATGACCTACATGTCATCTTTGAAAAATTACAACTTCTACGACGATAAATGTGCAGATGCGAGAGCAGAGCTTGAGCGCTGCACTGAGACACAATTACGCATGGTTCTTTCGCTGATTCATTGCCGATGCTGAAGGTGGCTTACCTCTCACTCATCCTTCCCTCCATGTAGCCTCCACACTACCGTCTTCACCCAAATAGAACATACTGTCGTTGTAGCTATATTTGGGGCAATTTTTTCCGTCTAGATCCAGCAGTATTGACAGTCCCGTCTATTCAGCCGGCCAAAGGTAGTAGTATATGATTTAGGACCAGGCGTTACTAAATCCACAGCCGCACCACTGAACCAGATGTGAAAACGACAAAATATATATATGCTGGGTGTTTCTTTCCACCTTCTAGCGGCAAATACATTCTCATTTTACACATTTGGTGAGTGGCAAAGGCTGTTATATATTCTATTAGACAACGGAACTGTCTTCCTGATGTAACAAAAAAAGAAAAAAAAAGAAAAAAAGCAAAACGGACTACTGTCTTCCGTCGCTTCCTGATATATCTCATGGGCAATTCCTACCGTCTTCATCCAAATAGAACACCCGGTCATTATCACTGCATGTGGACTGAAAGGTGCTCCAAATACACAGCTATAATGACAGGGTATTCGATTCGGGTGAAGACGGGAGGTGGTGGCACAATGTGCCTAGCTGGTGGCCTAATAATGATTTTAAGGACCTCTAAATGATGATGATTGCTTTGTTGAGGGCATATTCACGCACACTGGGGCTGTATTCACACTGCCCCACTGCAATAATAATAATGATTTTAAGGACCTCTAAATGATGGCAATGCCGTATGTTCACTTCCCCCTGCTTGATTAGTCCCAACGCGGCTTGAACATTAGAAATTGATTGGGCTTTTCCTCCCTTTTCTGCTTAAGAATCTTATACATCTGTCTGGATTTCGGAAGATCTGCTTTTGATATTCTCTGATTTTTTTTACAAAAAAGTACACACACACACACACACACACACACACACACACACACACACACACACACACACACACACA